TGTGACCAAGTAGAAGACAAGGACAGAAAATGCTTTTGACCCTTGTCAGCGCCTTCCAGCCACAGAAACACACCCACGGTTGAACAAAGTCAGGATTAATGACTCAGAGCCAAGAGGAAAAATACACAACATGGCAGAACCAGGATGCCTGAGTAAGAAGTTGTGAAAAAAGGACTTTGGTCAGGGCTATGGGATTTTTAGGGAGGCGCCAAGAAATGTAGATTTACTCTGCTTGGATGCCCTAAGGAGGCAGGCGTAACTTCATGATTGGATATCTTAATAAATTTTATCTATAAAGCAAGCAGAACAGTACAAGGTAAAGCTGTGCTTGAAGCAGCAGCAGCCACTCATATAAGCCGGATAAAGAAATATTTGACTTTTGTAGACTGGACACTATTCTTCTGTTCATCTGTGTTCAGATGTAATGACAAGGTGGTCCCGTTTCCCGATCCACCTGGACCCAGCGCCTTGTCTGGCTGGGTGCTCTGGGGAACTGCTCCTGCTGGGCAGAAGGTCACCTAGGCCGCGGGACTGGCCCTCGGGGACCGCTGTGCTCCTCAGCTGGATATCCTTTTGTGCCTTCAGGATTTTATGCCATGTGCTTATCTTACCTATTCAAAATAATCTTTAAATCTCAGAACTGCCCTGGCCAGTGTGGCTCAGTTGGTAGGAGCATCATCTCGAATACCAAAAGGTTATGGGTTCGATTCCTGATCAGGGCACATACTTAGGTTGTGGGTTCAATCCCCACTCAGGGCACCTCACACAGGAGGCAACCAATTGATGTTCTCTCTCAAATGGATGGCTGCCTGTTTCTCTTTCTCTCTCTCTTCTCCCCTCCTCCCCCTGCCACTCCCCCAATCTCTCTCTCTCCCTTTCCCTCTCTCTAAAAATCAATAAGCACATCCTCTGGTGAGGATTTAAAAAAGAGAAGAGTCTCTGAACTGAAGGAGACCTTAAAAATCACTGACTTCTGAGACTGTACCAGCCACCACCACCTTCCCCTCCCACACCAAGGGGGTTTTCTTGTAAAACCTCTTTACTAAAGCAAAACATGGGGGGGAGGGGGGAATCTAAAATAATCCTGGAATGAGTAACGCCTTCCTAAATAGGAAAAAAATGCTGAGGGCATAAAAGCATATTTTAAACAAAAAAAAATACATAAAGCATGGCAAAAAAAATTTAGAGATAAGCAGTAAAAAGAGTAAAAATCTTTGCAACACATATAAAATAGAAGCACTTTTTAAAATACCAGCTCTAAGTGCCAGTGCAGCATCTGCTTGCATATCTCCAGTACCACTCTTGTGCTAATTTATCAGGCAGCTCATTCCACATCAAACGTCTCTTACTATTTTTTGTTCAGAGGAAATGAGAACAATGCATTTGGTTATAATATCTTAATTGTTTTCACCCCAGCATGTTTGACCTCTTCAAATGCATCTTCTCCTCTAGTAACTAGGGAGCAGAATAATTACCTTTCTAATTTTATGTAAAATATTCCCATTAATACTCTCCAAACTGCGATTATTTTTGTGTGGGTGTGGGGGCGTGCGTGCCAGTGTTCCAACAGGGTTTTGCATCTTTGGTTGCCATTACATTTGCAGAGATTCTTTATCTGTTACTGCTGACAAAGCCATGTGTTTTTGTCCTCAATTACATATAATTAGTCTTTTCTTCAGGAACAAAAGAACAGGTGTCCTTATCTATTCTATGCAAGATACCAAAGCAAGGTTGGTTGAACCTAACGATGTTTGGTGAACCAAACAGCAGAATTCTGACAGATGCTCATAGTAACAAGATTTTTTTCAAACAATTAAATGCTTTTACGCCTGCCCACACAAAGTGGAGGAAAAAAAGGCATTTTAACATTTTAGAGGCTTATAATAATTTTCTATTAAAAAATTGAGTAGAATTTACATCTTTCTTTGATGTCTGACATCCCCACTCAGAAAATGTATAAATAAAAGTTACGCTTTCGTAGAAAATTTTTCATTGAAAATATTGGGAGGGGGTATCAGAAAAAAGTACATTAGTCAAAAAACTGGTGAAATCTGAACAAAGTCTAAAGCTCAGTTAATAGTACTGTGGCAGTATTAATTTCCTAGTTTTGATAATTATACTATTGTTACATAAATTGGTAGTATTAGGGGAGCTGGGTGAGGAGTACACAGAATTCCCTGTATTTGTAATTTTTCTGAAGTCTAAAATTATTTCAGAAGAAAAAGTTTTAAAATATTTGGGTAAGAAACGTATATAGCCAATAACCTAGATAAACTTTTGCACATCTGTACAAGGAGACATTCATTCATTCGTTTCATTTTTGTTGAGTACATACTATATATTAGAGAACATTCTAGGTTCTAAAGCTACATCAAAGATCAAAACAAAATCTCTTCATTCATAGAACTTACATTCTTCTGGGAATAAGATCAAAAATAAACAAATAAACAGCAACAAAAGATGTCAGGTAGTCATGAGAGCTACAGAAAGAAAAAAAAGTAGGGTATCAGAATAAAGAGCGCCAAGGTGAGATGTATAATTTATAAAGGATGGTTTATAAAATATCTTGGCAGCACTGTTTGTAAGTGCCCTAAAATAGAAAAAATAATTATCCACAAAAAAGAGAATGGATAAATATATTGGCTATATTCATGAAATGGGATGCTTTACAAAAATGAAAATATATAATATAAAGCAAATATATAACTATATATGCATCTCATAACCATAATATTGGGAAGGAAACGTACATACAATTTATGTACAGTAATGGTCTCACTTATAAAACATTTAAAAACATGCAAAGCAATATTATGAATGATTTAAGCATACATATGTCAAAAAATGTATTTATAATACAGTATGGACATAAAAAATGCCTAATGCAGGATGGTTGTTATGTCTAGAACTGAAGGAAAGCAGAACTCCATCAGAGACAACACAGAGGTTCCACATGTATTGCCAATTTTAACTAAATTTTAAGCCAAGGGCTGGGTGTCCAGTTGACTTTATCTTGGTCTTATTATTTTGTGCATCTAAAATATTTTTTAAGACCAAAATGTCAAAAAGTGTGGGCAGTAGTTTATCTTAATAAAAAATAAGATATTTTAAATTTGTAAATTTAGACAGCTTCTACAAGTATCTGACAAAATGTTTCACCTTCAAAGTGTATGTGTGTGTTACGCATGATGCTATCACGCATAGATACATATTTTATTATACATGTATGTATGTACATGTGGGCATGTATTTACACTAGCAAATGACCCAGCATCAGCAGAGAAAGCACTTTCAACTCTTTTTCTAGCTACAGTGAAGAAAGGACTTGTCTTAGTTGACCCCACACTGGGCTTCTTACCCTGCCCCACAAGTCACGCATCTGCGGGGCAGCTGTCTGGCCTACAGCTGCAACCTATGGAACTGAGTATGGCTACTTGACTTCCTTGGGGATTGAATCTATCTTCATCAATTTATAATTTTTCAGCATTTTTGCTTTAAAGTGGGGAGGATAGTGCTGACAGAGGATATTAATATTATTATCTCCGGCCACCTCCTTTTACAGAAAAATATACTGAGATCAAGGGAAACCTCAGAGATAGCAGGGGTGACACAGCTTAGCAATTTCCCTGATTCTTTCCATCTATACTTGTCTCTTGCTTTACTAAATCCACATTCACGTGCAGATGCAATAGATGGAAACCCTGTATGAAGAGGAAACAATCCTCATCCTTCTGTCCTCAGTTGAAAACGTGAATCATTTAAAGAATGCATTCCCACAAACAAACCAACAATGCAAACCATAATAAGCTAATCAACTACTTTGCAGAAAACTGGAATGCAATTCTTTATAATAAGATCTTTTCTTTACTGTAATTCATATTTTGTAGTGTATAATATTAAGTGAACCAAGAATAATTTAGAAGGGGTGGGCTAAAGCACTTTCACACTTTAGGAATTGGAGAACTTTCCTTGATCTTTACTTTAAATTGAAAATATACTTCAGCATAAACTATCAGGCTTCTTAGATTACCTTATGCAATCTACAGGTTGCCAGTCTGACACAAAATCATATCCATCGGAAGGCAATTCAATTGGACATCCATTTAATGAGCATTTACTATGCACTCGACGCTAAAGATCTAGCAATGAATACAGACAAACTTTGGAGGACAGTATGGCAGCCCACATAATTTTAGAATAACACAAATTTTCCTCAGTATATGCATATCATTATGCAGAAAATGAAAGGTAGGGTGACAGTGATCATTCTTGGTGCCGAGGTTTGTCTTCAAAATATTTCCAAAATGCGAATATCCTCTATTACACCTTCATGATTTTGTTGGGTTATTAAACTTGTCAACTCTAAGGTTAAATTAGTTAAAAACTATTTCCAAGGATATTATTAATAATATTTTAATATTTGGCATTTTATGTAAAAAATTATATACAAAGTTTTGGGTCTACTAATATTATCTTGTTATTATCACATACACTATAGAACATCACTATGCTATTTTAATATCGTCTTCTTTTAAGACCAATAATTTTTTCCTCAATCCAAATAAAAGAACATGTCATACACATATTATGTATTCAATGTTTACCTTAAGAAGTATGTGGTCTGCCTGAAATGATGTTCTGAGAATTATTTTAACATGCTTAGTCTTTAGTTCGAGGATTAACAACATCTCGTGCAGTAAAGTCTGTCGTGTTCCTGCGAACACTCATCACCATCCTGACACTACAAACACTGGGATGGAAGGAGCTTCTTGTCCCGTAACCGCTGGAGCTCCTTCAAGCTTCCTCACTTCTCAGTTAGTACAGACCATTTCTCCCTTATTGTCTTTGCTATAGGGAATCATAGCAAGGAAAATAAAGGAAAAGACACCAGTTTCTTGTAGTTAAATAGTTCAAAGGCAGCCTGGCCATGCTTTAAGTCTACAATACACTGGGCTATACATTTCATTGTAAATGGATTTCAGGAAGCTAATGTTCCTTACTGTAGTCACTGTTTTCGTCCTTGGTCCCGTCAATGGTACCATCTGGGTGCATCTGCAGGAAATATCCCTGCTGGCTGAATAACCTTGTCACAATTCCTTTCAGCTGGGGTTCTGCAAAACAAAAAGAAATGATTATTCAAATTTGTATTTTGTTTATAAAAATGCTCACTTGCAAATTGTCAGAAACATTCTCTAAGTAAACGCATAAGTGCCAATGGCTTAAATATTAAAATAAGTATTTGGAAAGGGAGCATTTCAGTAACATATCTTCACACAGTGTTTTTTTTTCCTTCTAGAGGCAGGGCCATAATACTAAGCAGCAATAAACCAAATGTAAATAAATAAAAGCTAATTATGATTAGTGGAATACAGAGGCATACTGAAAAGTAAATTACCTCTCTCTCGTGCATCTAGTATCTGACTGCAAGTTTATGTTCCCATTTCAGAATCACTGTTTAGAACAAACTGCCACTGTAATTCTTAAGCTTCCAGCAGTAATAATCAGTCCCTGGAAGACTTTGATTTCTACTGAGTGTCAACTGTCCATCAGAAACTCCTGCATTTTGAAATTCTGGTCAAGTTCAGCCAGAAAGAATGGCTTGGATGAGAACCACAGGAAATAGCAAAGCCATGGCCATGAGAAGTCAATGGAACGTATGTGGCCACAGATTTCACCTTCAGTAAATACCTGACCAGAGTGGAGCCCCAGTGCTAGTCATTTTTCCAAGCCCCTAATAAATCAATGTGTGCATATATCTCTAATTATTTTTAACTAGAAGTGGTCCTCAATTTTTAAAAACTCCCTACATACTAATACCATCAAAATGAACTTTGTATACTACATTTGGATTTTTGTACATCACCTAAAATAAATATTTAAAGCTTTCTCATTGTGGTGCTGGCTCCAGCAATAATCCATTTTCTACAGCATCACTACCACCTTTCTCTCTGCTTCTGTGTTGAGCAAAATTAGACTATTCTAGTGCTTTTATAGCCCTAATTATTTCATAAAAATAAGGAGAACAAAAAACTCTGCTTCTCGTGATAAAAACTGAGGCAAAGATAGAAATCATATGATTGCTGAAGTAGCAACACGTTACCCTCAAAAGGGCAATCACTGAATTTCAACTGACAGTCAACTTCATTCCTTCACCCATTTTTTCAACCAATAACCACTCTGAATCTCTTTTTTCCCCCATGCAATATGCTAGGCACAGTGTGTTAAACTGGACACATTTATTCATGATTAGGTCTAACTAAGAATTCTATTTGAGGATTCAATGAATTAACTCTTCGGGAATGGACCTGTTCCATATAACATTTGCCTATGACTTGATCACATATTTGGGGATATGAGGCAATGCCTATCTAAACATGTCTTTCAAAGTAACCCTAAAAAGCAGAAAAGATGCATGTCATTCTGATTAATAATTATAATTATCTTTGTAAGTTAAATTTATTTAATTGTGGGCCTTAATTTCCTCATCAATAATATCTAGAAGTTAAAGTAAATTAACTTTAGGTCCATTCTGTGAGTCTCTATTAACTGTGTACATTAGAATCCCCTGCCCTGAGTAGTAGCAGCAATCAAGGAATAGATGCATCTTCAATGTGTTGCTTCCAAGAGCCCCACCCAATCTGATATACTAGGGACATGTTAGAAGAGCATAGAGCTAGCTAACCTCACTGCAAAAAAGTACCCTGTACTCGCATTACCATCTATCAAACCTTACCAACCTTTCCAGGCTCAGCTCAAGATCACCTCCTCCATGAAGACTTGGAGATCATAAGTGAGAATCACTTTCGTAATCAGGGGAAATGAAAAAGACATGTGTGCCTCTGCCATGAGGATGACTGACATGCAGGTCCTGCTATGGCACTTAGCTCTCAACGTACAGTCAGAAGACCTAGCTTTGAGCCACAATTGCCAAGTGGTCCTGAGCAAGTCATTTAACATCTAAGCCTTAATTTTCACAAGTGTATAAGGGGGAAAAAATAATTGCTATGCTAACTATAATCATTGAAAATTTCAAGTGAATAAACATATAAGATAGTATGAACTGAAAAACTCTGTGAGATCATAAATACTAATTAAGGTCTAATTTTTCAACCATAAAAATCAAAGATGCAGTACAGTGGGAGGTAAAAGGAGCATTCTCTCAGCAGACTCTATGTCTTCTGATTTCTGTTTTAATAAAATATTGATTGAGGTTGTAAAGTCACTAAAGTAAACAGAAGGCTAAGAGTAGAGGCTAGAAAAAGATAGAAGGAAAGGGACAACTGTCTTATAATTCATATTTTATTTCTACTCAGCATGATAAGGTCGCTTTAAGAACTCATGTTTTGGCTGGTAATGAGATGCATAGCAGCTTAGTCATTAATGCCTGCAAACGATTGTGTGTGTTTTTGTGATCCTCCTCTATAGCTGTAATTAAACACTTCTTTTGCTGTGGTGAAGCTACCTGCACCCCACCCCCACTGTTGGGGCCCTGGGAATTCAGGTTGGTTACTCCTGTTCAAGATAATGAGCGTTAGGTTTTTTCTACCATGCCCCACTGTCCAAAAGCAGAGCCAGAACAAGCTCCAAGTTTGAGTTTTAATTATGTGATAATCTATGAAAGTGAACGTCTTGCACTACAGATGTATCAAAGGAGGCCTGACCATCCACTGAACAAACGCCCTGAACCTAGGACGTGTCACAGAAAAGAACATCACCTGCCTGACAGGTCTCTGCCCCAGTCATCCTCTGTCAAATCCTACCAATCTTTCTAAGCGCAGCTCAAGGTCACCCTTTCTATGAAAGCTTGGTGATCATAAGTGAGGGCACTTTTATAACTGGGAAGACATGTTTTCTTGTAACTGAACCAAAGGGGGTCAAAAATGAGACCACTTTTTGGCACATCTAGTATCCTGGGTGCATTCAACAAACATGTTCTTTATCTGTCAGACTATGCATAGGGATCTAATAGATTAATGAAACATGGCTGTCCTCAGGGAGCATCCCATATAACGCATGAAACATATTTATATATAATACTAGCGTGGGATGGCTGTTAAATGACGGGTAGAAGTGGCGTGACATGTTGGCACCAAGGAGCAAGGGAATAATTCTGTCTCCAGGTTTGATGAAGGCACCTCACCTGTTACTTGAAGAGTGAGTAGGATTATCACAGGCAAAAACAAAAAAACAAAACAAAGAACAGAGAAAGGACATTCCAGACCTAAAAACAATGCAGGGAGGCAAAACCCCCCCAGCATGGCAGACTCGGGGTGATGCAGAGTCTGGAACAGGCACAACGTATGGCAGAGGTGCCCACATGCGCACATGCAGTAAGCAACTGTTCTCAACAAATGTTCACAGGTCAACAGTGAAATAAGAAAAACAAGGTCAATGGAACACATTTTTTATTATTTTTTTCAATTATATGATTCTCCTTGATTCTAAGATTATGATTTTCCATTATTTTTTATTAATTAATGGCTATATTATTAGATGGAGGGTGGGGATTTGTCACTTTTTGTACTCTGAAGTGGTGTAGCAAATACTGTTAGCTTTTCTCCCAAATTAATTTCCTCTTTTTCTTAGGCGCCCAGCTAGACCATATGTCCTAGCCTCCCTTGCAGTTAGGTTTGGCAGATGAGTAAGTGTCATATGGGATGTAAGTGAAAGATATGTGTGCCATTTTCAGGCCATAGATTTTAAAAGCAAACATTCTCTTCCAAATTTTTGTTTCCTTAACACTGGCTGGATTTAGATGACAAAGTCATAGGGGATGTCAGCAAAATAAAATTCTGGACCCCTGAAAAACTGGTGAAGAAAGACAGCCATCAGAAATACCCACATTGAATAATTAGGTGAATAAGAAATAAACTTCAATTTGTTGTACACAGTGACTTCCTTCCTAAGAATACAATATGGAAAGGGGGTGGAGGGGTGGGGAGTAACTTCACAGTGGAGAAATCTGACAAATAAAGCATTACCTCAGTCACGTGACCAAGGTTAGCATCAACAGTCATTAATCATGTTGATAGTATGTACCCTTGATATGATGTGATGAGCACGACATTTTATCTCTGTGATCTTCCTCCCCAAAATGCATAACCTTTGTCTAACATCAAACAAATTCCAACTGAAGAACTTTCTAAAAAATAGCTGATTAGTACCCCCCAAAACTGTCAAGGTGATCAACAATAAGGAAAGTCTGAGAAACTGTCACAGCTAAGAGGAGACTAAGGAAACATGTCAACTAAAGGTAATGTGGTATTCTGGATGGGATCCTGGAACTGGAAAAAAAATAGGTAAAAATTAAGGAAATCTGAATGAAGTATGGACTATATCAAACTAAAAAGCTTTGCACAGCAAAGGAAACCATCAACAAATAAAAAAGACAACCTACTGAATGAAAGGAGATATCTGATAAAGGGTTAATATCTAGAATTTATAAATAACTCATACAACTCGACATCAAAAATCAAATGGCCCAATTAAAACATGGGCAGAGGATCTGAAGACAGCTCTCCAAAGAGGACATACAGATGTGGCCATACAAAAGACATATAAAAAGACATAAAAAGATGCTCAATGTCACTAATCATCAGAGAAATGCAAATTAAAACCACAATGAGCCCGGCGGGGCGTGGCTCAGCGGTTGAGCATTGACCTAGGATCCAGGCTATCGGGGTTCAATTCCCGGTCAGGGTACATGCCTGGGGGTTGCGGGATCGATCCCCAGTCGAGGGCGTGCAGGAGGCAGCTGATCAATGACTCTCTCATCACTGATGTTTCTTTCTCTCTCTCTCTCTCTCTCTCCTTTCCTCTCTCTGAAATCAATAAAGATATATTTTAAAAAAAACAAAACACAATGAGATATCACCTTATACCTATGAGAATGGCTATTATCAATAAATCAACCAACAATACATTAATTTGATAAGATACATGCACTGCTGTGTTTATTGCAGCATTGTTTACAATAGCCGCAATATGGAAGCAACCCAAGGACCCATCAATAGACACGTGGATAAAGAAGAAGTGGTGCATATATACAATGTCCATCAATACACAAGTGTATAAAAAGTAAGTGGTACAAAGAATATCACTTGGCCATAAA